GATAGTTATTTTTTATTTCATGCAACATGTGTTTTAAGAAATTGAATTTGATGGTTTTGAATTTTAGGTGCTTGAGATGGTATTTAACACTATTTTAAAATATTTGTATTTATGCCCATCAGATACCAGATAAATGAGGCATTATTGTATTTAATAATCCTTTTTTCTGTTTTATCAGAATAAAAATTTAATATTTGTGAAATATATATTCCCTTTCTGAAGTCACAGATACCACAGATAAATTGTTCATAAATTGAAGGTAGAGAGTATAGAATTATAACTAATTGAATTGTTGCAAAATGCTGGAGGGCGGGATACAACTGAGATTACAGATTTGATTGAAGAGCTTCATGTTTTTAGGTTAATTGGCATTTCTCTTGCCAAAGGGATTATACTGTTTTAGACCAAAATAAAATATTAGTATATGATTTATATGTTCTAAGCATGGAGGAAAAACATAATTAACTGACAGAAGATGCCTTGGGATTCAAACTGTTCGCTGTAGGGTAGTTGTGTTGTAACTGTTAGCTCTGTTAGGACATTCATGGGAGAGAGAATGCTGCTGCCAGGCCAACTCGTTTACGTGAACGTGGACAGGACCATTTAGTGTCATAGGAAAAGAATTCCAGCAGTGACCGCACACTTCTCCACAAATAACTTTGTGTTCTTGGTCATAGGAGAATGGTCCGAATATGCATGGATCAGTGTGGATTTACAAGGAGAGTAGCTTTGAGTAGCTTCATCTGAACCTGTATTCCTACCTCAGACAACGTATTTGTTTTAGGAATATCTAGAAAAACTCATCACTGCTCAAGACCGAGTTCTGAGGGAAATATAAATGATCATTTAAAGCCCTTAGAAGGTCAGCAGGCTTGGAAAGACAAATTCTGTCATTTTTGCAAAAGCAAATTTGTGGGAAACATAATACAGTGTACATATTAAAAAGTACCTTGTGAGAGAGAGATTTACTAGCTCCTTGTGTTTTATCTTGTCAGAAGAGAGAACCAGTAACGTAGTGGTTGGGAGTTGTTACAAAGTATTCTCAGATCAATTTCTCCATGTTATCTGTGATGGCATATACCCACCCCATAAATACTTTAATTATATTGGAACACACATTTTAAAGGATTTATGCTGCAGTTGATCCCAAACCAAATAATTTAATCTTAGCTTACTCCTTATTGGTTTATAGTAGGAGATCAGTAATTTTGAATGAGACTTTTAAAGGTAACACAAGCAGGACACACTGGCATGTGGATCAATAGGCCCAGCTACTTGGGAGGCTGAGGCAGAAGGATCACTTGAGTCCAGGAGTCCAAGGCCAACCTGGGCAACATAGTGAGACCCTGTCAATAAAAACAAAAACAAAAGAACAGTGCAAATGTCTACCACTAGTTGGTTTAAAACCAGTATCTATACTGAATCTTGCTTCTTAATATTTATGAAAAATGGCAGTTGGCAGGTAATTGTTCTGTTGAAAGGAGTCTACAGATGGCCTGCATAATGGCAGTATATTGTGTAGCACCTGAGAATTTTCCCACGTAAGCTGTATACTCCCCAAACAGTTCATATGGCGAATAGCATATATTAAAGATGATTGTATTACAAGGGTTAGGGTTCCTATCGTACAGTGTAACATTACTCATCACTTATTTTATTTCTTCTAAACTGCTGGTTCTTCTTACTACCCAGAAGTGTCAGTTACCTAAAATATACATTAGTATTCACGTAAGTTTAATTTTTTCAAACTTGTAATCTACAGAATACTGATCCATGGTACTCATTGTTTTCATGTCAAATTTGAAATTATTCCTTCATTTAACATAACAGCCTATATTTTTAAGTAGAATTGGTACTGTTATCTCCGTTTTGTGGATTAGGAACCTGAGGTTCAGATATTAAGTGATCTGGCCAAGATCATAGGGATGAACTGGCCCTGAAACTCACATTATTTTCACTCCCCTGCCCAAGCTGTTTCCAAGAAAAGCTTCTAAATAAAACACGTTATTTAAGAAAATAGCTTAATATTTTTGTATAGTTACTGTTAAACGTTTTGAACATTTTAAACTAATTTGAAAAAATTATCATCATCTGATTTCAAATAAATGATCGTCATTATAGGAAGCCTGCAGCCGCTTGTCAGTGCCACCGTAGGTAAGGACATATCAGAGCTGCTTTATGTACAGCAGCAAACATCTGTGACTATAATTTTAATGACATTACACATTTTAGAATTGATTTAGAATTTGTACATTTTATATATGTATGCTATATATATTAAAAATTATATATAATATATATATATAAAGGAACCTGAAGAGTAACATTTGTATTATAATTTAGTAAAATACATCTTAACTGTTTACTCTTAAATTATGTATTTACAAACAAATACCATCTATATTAAGATTGAGCCTTAAAATTTGGAGACCTAATAGGTAAAGAGTTACTGTGAATAAAAACACTTATGGTAGAGTGATAGAGTATGTATAAGGATTCTTAACCAGGAGACCATACATGGGCTTCACAGGCCTGTGAACCCCTAAACTTACATGCGCATATATATTTAAGGATCATGTTTGGCCAGAAGGTAACATGCATTCAGTAGATGTGACTTCTAAAAATATTTTCAAGAGTTCGTGTATGTAGGGAAGGATGCTGCTCTGGATTATAATGGCAGCTTATTTCATATGTGCTCATTAGGACTAGGAACCAAAGGATGATCAGTGAAGGGTTCCTGTGTGCTGTGTGCTCGATACTGTTATGTGTATGCTAATAGTGCATGGTGCATTCCCTCATTACAGCACTTGGAGAGAGAAAGTTTTTTTGTTTTTGTTTTTGGTACTGGGAATCAAACTCAGGACCTTGCAGTTGCAAAGCAGGCACGACACCACTGAGCTAAATCCCCAGCCCCTGTAAGAGGTAAGTTTTACAGCAGTCCGGATCTTGCAGGTCAGGAAACCAAGGCACAGAAAGGACAGATGACTTCCCCAGAGTCACATATGAGGTAACCAGCAGAACCAAGTCCCAAATCCAATATAATATCAAAATTAGTGTCATCTTTTACTACACAGAACACGCTTTGAGAAACACCTCATAGGTATGTCAGTACCCTTTCCTTTCCCAAAATGTAAGCAGAGTTCAGTTGTGCCGTAGTAGTAACTGATCAGGAGAGAGTGTGATCTTCAGGTGGAAACACGTTTACAATTTTGAAATGTCTTTCAACCAGCAATGATTCGTATGAGGAAACATATAACGTTTATGTATTGTGTGCTTTTAGTTTATAGAGAAACTTCTGAGAGAAAATGTACTTAGTACTGGTATGATGTACCCAGGCCCCATTTTATGAAATGCAAAACTTTTATCTCTGCTTTTTCAAGAGAACATAATCTTTTGATTTAAGGGATGACAAATATAAGGTTTTGTGTGATTTAAAGAAAGGACAGTAAGTGGGGTATTTTAGCTACTCAAATTTTAAGCAGGTTTTTCTTTCAAGGCTATTTTACCCTCTTGCATGTATGAGTTTTCTATTTAGTGATCATAAAACAAAACAAAAATATTTAGCTGGATGTGGTGGTAAATGCTTGTAATCTCAGCTGTTCAGGAAGCTGAGGCAGAAGGATAGCAAGTGTAAGGCCACCAGCCCAGGCAACTTGGCAAAACCTTTTGTCAAGAATAAAGAAAGAAGAAAAAGAAAAAAATGTAAAGAAACTAAATTCAAAGAAGATTGTCATTGGGTAGGTACCACTTGCAAACGACTTCTTTTATATGGATCTTTGTTGTGTTTCCTGTTTTCTTTAAACAAAACAATATATTCAGCCATCTCACATTACCACAATTTGAGGAAAGTTTGTAGCTCCGCAGCTGAACTGTGCAGTATATATACATACAGGTGTATCTTTAAATCCTACCTGTGGTATGAGAATATTAGATAAAAATGCCTCTGTATGTGAAACAAGTAGTTTTAAATAGAAAACGTTAAGATCTAATTACTAAAATACATGATTACTAGGATGATTTCACAAGTCACACGAACTATTGCTGTAGTGTAAACTTTTAAAGCAATTATAGGAAAGTTGGAACTTGCTTAGGAGTTTTTGTCGAGCAACCTCCCCATTAACTGCCCTTTCTCCATTCGCTATTTTGGGCTACAAAAATCGGTTAAGACTGCTCTTAGATGAGAAAAAAAAGTTTTAAAAAGGACTGTGTACAATTTAGAACAGTTTATTTCAGGCAAGTCGAGCAGGTACTCTGCCAAGTACAAAACCTGACCCATCACTAACAAACAGTCCTGAAAGCCAGCGAACATTTTATTTTGTTGATGGCATGGATTTCTTGAGATTTACCTAATAACCACCAGTGTTCCAAGCCTTAACCTCTTGTTAGGCAAGACTTTGTTTTGTTTTTTGAGACAGGGTCTCACTATGTAGTTCAGTTGAGATTGATCTGGAACTCACTATGTAGCTCAGGCTGGTCTCGAACTCACAGCGATCCTCCTGCCTCAGCCTCCTGAGTACTAGGATTACAGGCGTGTGCCACCATGCCTGGCAAGTCAGGACTTTTAAACTAGCATTTATTTCATTTTTGGCATTCTATTGGAGGTGGGGTATGGCAGCAGTTTAAAAGAATGTGTGTGAATGTCTATGTATGTGTTTGAGAATAAAGAGCCATTTTGAAATTATGGTGATTAAGACAGAATTGAGTAACCCAAATTTGAATTTGGCTGGGATCCATGAGGGATGATTATTTTTCCTGCACTCTGACTAGGAGCTTTTCAGCGGAGTGCAGGTGCTCTTGCCCTGTCAATGGTGTGCAGTCCCATGGCAGGCAGAGGAAAGAAACAATCTTCCCTGAATGTTTTCATAGTGTGTTCAATAAAGACTACTGAGGTAATAAGTTCAGTACTTTACATAGATAGTAAACTGTGCATATCATTTTATTTGTAACCCCATGTGTTAAGAAGGGACACCGTTAAAAGTAACAATCACTTTAAAAGCAACAACCAACAAACCAGTATTTAATTTGGTATTTAAAATAATTAAAAATCAAACGGAAGTAGTCTCTAACTAAGATAATTCATGACAGATACCATTAATTCAAGCTCTAGGTACTGGAAATATTTTTCAGCGTGGGTAACTTACTTAAAATGTACCTATAGAGATAAAATAAGTGCTTAAATTAGCAAAGTATTAAGTAAGAGTTCAGGGAATCCCTAAAATTATTTTTAAGAACTTTAGAATTTACTATATTAAAAAACAGACGAACTACAAATCTAAGTTATTTCATACATAACCTTGTTAGAAGCAATGTATTTGCATTCACTAGCAAAATTCATGGCAATAAAGTATTTTTGAAGTGTATTTTATTTCCCAAATAGTTCACTAGTTTGAAAGAGTCATTCCAGAGATTCATCTGAATTTCTATTAAACCTAAGCCTTTAATGAAAAAACATGTTTCTGAAAATAAGGCAGTTTTTCTACAATCTGCTTATGAATAGAAAACAAATCTTTGGTTTTTAGTTTAAGTGGTAGGAAGGATTTTGCAAAAAGAAGCACTAAATAACTAAAGCAATTAAAAAGCTCTGAATAAGCAATGGGAAACTCCAAACCCCATCAAGGTCAGTAGAGCACCTAAGGCACCTCAGGTTCAGATGATACAATCATCTTCGCTTAGAGTTCTGAAGGTCTGTGTACATGATTCTTACCATCTGGAGAAGGTGGTGTCCAACAATGATTACTATGAACAAGAAAAGACACTAGGAAATGATAAATGGGAGAGAAACTGGAGCTCGTCTCTTCTACCTTCTGTATATTAAGGTGAGGAAACAGGCCCAGTCAAGAAGCAGGTGACTCCAGTTTGTTTCCAGATTCCTAATCCATTTCTTAGGGCAGAACAAATTCTAGATTTTAATTTTCATTGCCTAGTAAACCAAGTGTGAAGGGTTTCAAAGATGTAAAGAAAAAAGAAAAAATTCCCATCAAATTCCCAAAGGCAACTAGGAAATGTATAATACTTTACTGTCTTAATTCCTTTATGCCATGTGTTGGACAACTCAGATAATGTTAATACAATTCCTTCAATTGTACCTAAAAATAGACCATAATTAAATGAGAAAGTTACATAAGATTCCACTTTAGCATACATAAGGCCATGATAATGTGAACCACCATTTCTTGCGAGAAGGAAATATCCAATGTCCAGTTCTGAAAGTTTCTGACTAGTTATCTAGTAGATTCTCCACTCTTCAATGGGGAAGATGATGCTTGTATTTTTAAAAATCTCTACAAAGCTCACATACAAAGACAGTACATCCTAGATTTGTGACTGATATAAGCATTTAAGGCTGTCATTTTCAAGTATAAAGTTTAGTGTTCCATTACCCAATCTGTGCAATACACATAGCTGTAAGTACAAATCATAAAAATTAACAAGCCTACCAAAAACAAATCATAATTTAGGCAATAGCGAGTTAAATGTAAAGAAGGCTAGGGGAAATTATGCATCTCTAAACTGCATTAGGTGGTTCACACTTTGTCTAACACTGCTATCTGTTGCGTAGCATCTGGAACATGGCAGATCCCATAGCAGACCACACAAAGAAGGTAAATTAGGTAACAAGACCAGTTATTAAGAATGTTTACCTCTAACACAGTTCTAAGGCCTGTTCCCTCAGATGATTAGAAATAGCTCCAATACCATGAAAGCTTTACAGATGAAAAGTCTGTTTCCAATGTTTTTTTTAAAGCAGTCTTTCACCTTGGGACAAATACATACTGCCCCAGGATTAATTAAATCAACATTATTTACTTTTGGCTTAATGGAATATTGTGAAATGTAATACAACTGGCAAGAATAAGTATTTGGAAGCCAGCAGTATTGTTTAACTTAAATTCTGAGTGTGTAAATTGTGGTTCTGTAACTTCTGCAATAGTTGCAATATCTGTATCTGAAAAATGACGAGTTTTATCACACACAGAAGCAGCTGCTTTGTTTTAAATCCATGTTAACATGCTTAGATTCTAGGTCTTGCCTCTTTAAGTCATAGTTCTCTTGTGTTTTGTCAGCATACACACTTCTCATCTCATCTGATGTATACAGCCAATGTGTGGATTTTTTAAAAAATTACCAGCTAGTTCAGAGGGCTAAGTTGATTCCGTGATTATGGCAAAGTATGACCCAAAATTTTAATTTGCAATTTAGCATGTATATCATGCAATTTGGGGAGCATCAAACTAAATCTACAATTGTCAGAAGCCTTGTTACAGTTTAATGCACATTAACTAAAATGTGTACATTTTTAGTGTTGATGATAAATGCAGTTATGACCTTATTACACTTTTGGCATTAAGAAAGCATTATTAAGCTTTAATATAGAAATATTTAGGTTACATTTAACTTGTGCTCAGGTAATAATAAACGTTTGTTCACTTTTGATCTCATACAATCTCTCTTCAGGTATGGCCCATCTCCTGTACGGTTGGAGCAACCTTTGGCTACGTGGCTGGCCTTGTTATTTCACCACTCTGGATATACTGGAATAGAAAGCAACTTACTTACAAGAACAATTAACTGGAGCAAAGGGAGGAGATATTTCTTTGTGCGGATTCCGTTAAAGGCTGTGCAGAAATGTATATGGTTAAAGCCAAGCAGTTCCATTTACAGCACTGTTTTGTTTTTTTAATGCAGTTTCAACATGATGTGATTGTAACTTTTTAAACTATGAAAACCCTGAGAGATTGTACCTTCTAGTTGAAATAAAGTATTTATAATAGATTGTGGCTTCAGTTCTGTTTGCTGCTTCTTAGACCTCTAAGGAACATTCCTAATGAATTCTGAGGACGGTTTTTTGTTTTCTTTCAAGTTTGAAACTGCTTCCTTACAAGAGGTCTGGGTATCACTGTAGCATTTCATATGCTTTCTGAGAGAAATTGACAGTTTTCATGGCCACTGAAGTTGTTTTTCACGTAATCAAACAACAGTTTATACATCTTGATCCTATTCTTTTTTTAACTGTATGTTTCTTTGGAGTTAAAATGGCTATGATAGCCTCATCAAAAACAGTCTTCAATCCCTTCTGGGTTAAAGCTGAACATTCCACATAGCAGCATGCTCCTATCTGGGAGGGAAAAAATAAAAATCACAATTATTTATATAATTGATGTGACACATCAAATTATAACTATAAAACACAGCTATACGAGAGGATAAACTTATCATCCATATTCATATGCCCAACAGTAGCCAACTGTTAAAATGCTAGTATATTTCCTAGACTTCATGAAAAATTCTTTCATTCATCAAATATTTGATGAGTACCCACTGTACCTCACGCATTGCCTTGGTGCTGAGGAAATAGCAATGAACTTAACCACATCTGCTTACATCCCACAAAGGAGAGGCACCCAGAGGAGGACTCTAGACCAGATGGTGCAAATGCTAGGGAGAAAAAGAGTGACGGAGTGTGGAGGCAGGTGGTGGTGGCAGGTCAGGAAAAGCTTCAAGTTGAGTGGTGAGGGTCAAGGGGAAGGGCTCTAGACAGGACCCTAGATGCAAAGACCTGAGGTGGGAACATGTTTGGATCATTCAAGGAACAGAAAAGTCACCAGAGTGGCAGAAGAGAGCATCTGGGACTGGGAGAGATGGTCAGGGAGGTAGCCTCTAGCCATACTAATTGGCCTTGACTCCAAGGGGACCTGCTCATCTGCTAAACGTTAACTGCACACTCATTTGCTAAATGCAAGAACACAGCAGAGAAAAAAAATTAATTCCCTACCCTACTCTCATGCAACTCACTGCACCTTAAAGAGGGAAAAGCCCAGGCAAGCACTGGTAAATACAGAGGCACACTGTCAAAAGGTGTGCTCTGGGGAAAGATGGGAAGGAAGATGAAGCGGGGAGTGAGTATGGATGATCAGGTGGGGTCACACACAAAGTATGTCAGCAGAGGCCTGAAAGGGCTAAGAAATGAATAATATTGACACACAGGGAAGGAGAGTCCAGGCAGAGGGAGCAGCAAAGTGCGATGGCCCGAGGCAGAGGCAAGAGCTGGAGCAGAGAAGGAACAGCATTTATGGGCTGCCAGCAGGGCTCTGACCTGCATTCAGAGTATGCTGGGGACCGACCAGAAAGTTCTGGGCAGAGCAATGACCTGACCAAGCTTGTATTTTAAAACTCATTCTGCTGCTGTGTTGAAAACAGATTATCATGGGGCAGAGAAAGAAAGGTAAGTGAAAAAGCGGTTCCAGTAATCCAGGTCAAAGGTGAAGAGGAAAGGGTGAGAGGAAGAATTTGGAGTTTAAGTCTATTCTGAAGGTAGAACAGTACCTTCTGCTGAAGGTTAGATGTGTAGTATGAGAGAAAAAGCAAGGTGAGGTATGACTCGAGGTTTCTGATCTAAGTAACTGTAGGGACAGGAGTGGAGAGTAAAATCACGAACTGTTTTGGACATTTTAATTCAGAAATGCTCAGTCATCCAGACAGACTTGTTAAGTGAACAACTGGATAGCTACATCCAAAGTTTATGGAAGAGGTTCAGGGTGGAGATACAAATTTGGGAAACCGGTGAAGCCACAAGACAGGAAGAAGCCACAGGGTCCCTAGGCCTTAGGAGAGTGCTGATGCCTGGGGCCCTCCAACCTTCAGGGACCATGGAGAAGAAGAGATGGCCGAGGGGTCAACAAGAAGGGAGAAGAACCGAGAGAATGTACCCAAGGAAGCCAACTGAGGAAAGCATTTCAGGAAGGATCAGTGTGCTTAGCATACGTAAGGGCCCTGCTTGCAGCCTCAGCACCACCCTGTGCATATATCTCAAAAACTTAGTCAAAGTTCCAGTCTAACTGAAACTTTTTTGACCAACATCCTAACAATTTTCTTAAAATAAATCGCTACACAAGGAATTGCTTTATCAAAAGTAAGCATGATTTTAACAGGCTTTTTCATGTTACCAAGATTGCTTTTATTCAACAACCACCAAAACAATACAATGCCTATTTCCTTGCACCCTTGCAAAAGTATCTTTAGTTCATTTTTAGCCAACTTTATATGTGGAAACTGAATGACTATTATATGGGTGTGAACATTCCTACCTTTAATACACTATGCTTAGCCTATTTTTCTATTGGGATATAGGTCTTCTGCTGGTTAACTCATTTATGCCAGTGATTCCTCTATACTAAGGATGTAACCCTTTTCTGTCATATATACCATTTGTTGTACGACTTTTAATTTAATTCTATTTCTGGCAATTTTATGTGATTAAATCATCAATATCTTCATTTATGACATTTACCTTTATGACATTTAGAAATTCCTACTCTCCTCAAGATAACAAAATTGAATACAAGAAATTCCTTAAGTGATCTGTTAGTGAAACCTTTATGTTTTACTTTGAGAAAAACTGTCTTGCAGTAAGTTTTCTTGCTTCTTCTGTCTACTAATATGTAGGACATTTAAAAAGACATTATTAAATTGTTTCTACAAAAGTCCTACTAAAACATGTCACAACATTAAAAAAAAATCTAATAATGTTAGGGCCAAAAAGAGAAGAAGTAAATCTAGCTTCAAGGCGAGGAAAAATACAAGCAAAAAGGTGTTAGGTGTATCACTGTTACAAATATTTTTAGAAACCTAACCATAATTTTCTGTTTTGAACCACAAATTTAAATTATCTTCCTATGTTACTGTACAACCTCATTCCTTGCATCTCCTTAAAACAGTCTGATTTGGCACAATACAAAGTTTAAGTATTTAAAAAGGGTTTAAAGGCTCAGCAGCCGCTACTCATGCCTCTATCCATATGTAACGTTTTAAGAAAATACTGTTGGCAGTGTGGCACAGGTAGAAGAGCCTGGCTTTGGACTAAAACCAAACTCTGCCACTTGCTGCTGCAGGGCCATGGACAATGCCCCAAGCCACTGTTTTCCCTTCTCTACAACAAAGCAAAAAAACCCTGCCTCACAGAGTTGGTGCAAGGATTAAATGAGATAATGCATGAAAAGCACTCAGTGTAGTCCCTGGTGGACCGTAAATACATGTGTTCGCCTCAGCTACTAGCTTTACATTTATTTTTAAATTCTGCAAATGTTCCATTACCTCTTTTGCTAGTTTCTGTCCTTGTTCCACACATATAGGTTTTTCTTTCATATCATTCAGTCTTGCTAAAGTTTTGGGGTCATCTCGGAGATCAATCTAATTAAGAAAGGTCAATAATGTCCCATAACATTACAAGTCTTTAAAGAGAAATCAAAGCATGTCATCCCATTTAATCCCCACATACCAAAAAAAAAAAAAAA